GTGTGCTGGTCACTGCCGCCCCTCTGGTGGGCACCCCGCCACTCAACCCAGAACCCTGAATCTGCTGGGAGTGCAAAGGCAGGCTCTAGTGGTCCTAAACGGCCCCTGTCTGCTCTCACAGAGTGGCCCTGGAGACCCCCTCATTCCTTCCCCCCACCTTGACCATCCTGTATGAATTAGCTGTGCTTCCAACGACATCGTCGTCCTGCTGAGGCCGGCTGGGCCTCCGATGGGGTTGCTCATGGTGGCTCAAGTCACCTTCTGACAACCAAGACTCCCTCTGAATGGCTCAGTGTAGAGTCAGGTGGGCCATCTGACAAACAACACAGTCAAATGACTCAATCTTAAGTCCTGTGCTGAAGCTACCACTGCAGGGGCTTTATGTTTGAGGGGACAAAGGATGGGGTGCCTGCCCAGCCTGGGGAGCGACTGTTCTGTTTCAGGCCATCTTGGATATTGGGGCAGGGTGCCTGCCCAGCCTGGGGAGCGACTGTTCTGTTTCAGGCCATCTTGGATATTGGGGCAGATGGACAAAGGCCCAGTCAGGCCATATCTGGCATCCCGGAGGGTCTCACGGTTGTGGAGGGGGTGGTGGACAATTTCAAATGAAGACAGAAAGTGATAAGCCATGTGTGGAGGTAAAAGCCTAGCTTAGAAGGAAGGACAGGCCCAGGCAGGAGTGGACTGCAAAGGCCCACATGCTGGGGGGCATGGTCCACACGTGTGTCCAGCCTCCACACCCTGTCCTGGGGTCCTGAAGATGCCCTCAGCTCTTGAGATGAAGCTTTCCTTTCCAGGAGCCTGAGATCCTCGGGTAGCTGCTTTGTGTGAGTAGTGCTTTAAGACCAACATCCTGGTCCTCGTTTCCTCTGAATCAGTCACCACCTGAAGGCCAGCCACACAGTTCCTTCCTGTTGGCCTGAGCCGGGCAGAAGTCTTGGTCCGCAGGCCTCCCCAGGGAGTGTGGCAGCAGGTGGGCGCCTCCGTCCAGCTCAGCTCCAGGACACCCATAGTGACGTGGTCTCTGGCTGGATTTCTCTGAGCCTCGGCTTGCTCCACACTGCAGAGCTGTGCACAGTCTCCACCATGAGAGAGTGCTGAGAGTTGATGACTATGTAAAGTCGGGACAACTATTTCCTGGGATTCTTCATTCACAAAAGTGTACCTTGGTTCTCTCTTGCTGTCCGTGAATCCCTTTCTGTGGGTGGTGACAGCCAGATTGGAAGTGGGTAGGAGGAGTGTGGAAAGATTGCAAATGGATCGTTGCAGGGCTCAGGCAGATCTTCACAGTGGTTTCAGAATAATACTCTGGTTCTCCAGGGGAACTTTTAAATTTGGTTCTAAGAAAGACGAAGTGGGTACACCCCCTCCTGGAACATATTGCCAACTTGGAACTGTCAGCTCCGTACTGGATAACAAGGAAAGGAGCTTTATAAGATAGTCCAGCTGGAGGGGACCCCATTTTTCAGATGAGGAAACTGGAACCGTGTCAGAACCAGTGACTTGCTGGAGGATGGCGAAGCAACAGTCAGCTGAGTCAAGGCAAGGGTGCAGGGCTTACTAAGGTCCTTCAGGGCTTGTGCATAAAGCTCCCCCTGATGAAAATGGCAAGTGGTGCTTTCCTCCTGGGGTTCCTGCTCAAATGGCATGAAGGCCTGAGACCTTCAAATGGAAGAGGCAGTGCTTCCATTTCCTCTGTCTTAGTTGGGGTTCCTCCAGAAGCAGATCCTGAGAGAGGACTAGAGTGTGTGTAGTTCATTTGGGTGATGATCCCAGGAGGAGGGAGGGAAGGAAGCCAATAAGAAAGGAATGCATGATCACGTGAGTTACCACGATGTGGACAGCTGGGGCTTAATCCCACTGGGGAGCCCAGGGAGTCAGGGCTGCCCACACCTCACAGTCAGCCCAGAAGAGTGGGGAGAGAACTGGGTGTGAGTCCACCAAGTCCATCACTGGTGGAAGGCTGTTTCTGGGGACAATTTCTGACCAGCCCCGGGCATACCTGAGCACACTTCCCAAGGTGTGGAAGTCCTCAGGCAGAGAGACAGGTCATGACGAGCAGAGCCGAAGTAAGACAAGGCAGAAACCAGAACCACCAGGCGGCTGGTTCACATTGCAGGTTGCAGGGCCCTGCCGCTAAATGCCTGACTGTGTAGGTCTGGAGCAGGGCTTGAGAATATGCATTTCAGGTAAATTGGGAGGTGATGCTCTGCAGCTGGTCAGGAGGCTTGACTTGGAGAACCACTGACTGGTAAGTTTCTAGTCCTTACCTGTCTCTCATTGATGGCTTATGGCTTTTCCCCCCTCTAACTTACGATTAGTTTTAATACCACTTCACATCATAGATCCCAGGGTCCGTGCTGTGAATTTAAAAGTGGTGAATTAATAAGCATTTATAACTCCATGCAACCGTTGCTGGCAGATAAAATGCCATCTGCTGGCCACAATTTATTTATAATGGGGTTTCTAAATATTTATAAGTTTGCAAGCAACAAACGCACATTTTTAATACTGGCACATTTTATAGCAGCCAGAAAAATTGCAACTTTATACCAGGACTTGTGAATGTGAATTACATATGTATATACATACATATATATACTTTCATTGATTAAAACAAATATAAATCTCTCTCTGTACACACAGAGATTGGCTCTGTGCTGGGCACCTTGGGACTGCTCCCTGGGTTTTGGTTTTGCAACTAATAAGGACAACTAGAAAGACAAACACAAAAAATTGGGGGACTGATAGGCTATGGCATCTGTAGACACATGGAGGTGGGCCCCGGATGCTGCGGGATGTGGGGCCCCAGCACAAAGGGTCAGGAGCAGGACGAGAGGACAGTGTGGGTGGAGGGAGCCCACGGTGGGAAATAACAGAGAAGCCAGTGGGAGAAGTCAAGGAAAGGGGCGGGCGGAAGTGGGATAAAGGGAAAAAGAAGGGAGAGGGCAGACAGAAGTCCAGACTTACATCTGTGTTTATCCAGCAGCACGTTTTTTTT